AACGTTTTAGCTACTGTCAAATCAATATTATTCGAGGTGTTTTCTCTTTAAACTGTACTTTGTTTTCCTGCTGCTGATGTGAGTACACATTGGAACCTTGAGCTTAAATGAATAATTGCATTTTATTAAAATGTTCTTCGAAGCAGATTTATGCTCTCTGCTTCCTTCATGAAAAACTCTCCCTGAGAAATACAGTAGTGTTTCAGGAGTAATAAACCGGAATTTCTTCAGAGAAAAAGCAAAATTTTTTATAGTATTCTTCCCCTTTCGGACAAAACACAACTAACTCAACAGTTACTTACGCGGAATCGTCTCACGTGATAATCGCAGAGTGAGTCGCTATTTCCACCACGAGTAGAGGACCTCGAGACTAGAACAACTGTGCAATAAGTCGGGTCCATGGCCTATTGTTCAAAAGTTATGGCCGCTTTACTGAATTTGCGACCAGTAGCAAGGTATTTTCGAAAAAATCGAATTAAAAAACTTCGAATTGAAATTTTGCCTGTGGATAGATCTAATAATCCTTAGAATCTCCTGAAAGTTTCAACAAAAACGAACGTTTTTCTTGAAATATTGAAGTTCCAAAAAATAGTCACCTGCCACTGGGTGGAGACAGTAGTCGAGTTTACTCGTATCTCAAGAAAGACATTCTTTTTGCTGAAATTTTCAGAATATTCTAAGGATCATTAGATCAATCTACAGGCAAAACTTCAGGTCAAAGTTCTTATTGGATCGGGAACGAATTGCATCATTTGGTCACCAATGCCAACCTCGTCAAATGTGTTATACGTTGGCGGAAGATTCAAGCCTCGACATATCTATCAGCAGCATTCCAACGTTCAACAGCATTTGTTAGCCACTTCTTAGCACGTTCAATAGTGATACTAGACTACCGAATCGGTTCGCAACTTTACACAGTCAAGCATGATTGAAATATCATTTCTATGTGTCCTACCTTATGAGGGCATGTTTGGAGTGTCCGATGGCTATAGAGCTCATATTCTAAGCTTAAGTAGGATACCGCAAGACCAGAGTAACCCTAAGTTGGTTTGCTTGTCTGGACTTTTGGGACTGAGTTATGATCGTTTTACTAGATTTTCGATCCATCGTAATGGGTTTTCAAAAAACTCAAATGAGCCAATTTCGATCTGAAATTTGACTCGTAAATAGGTTTGATGACCATTAGAATATTCTGAAATTTTTAATTAAAACGAGTGTTTCCTTTTTGAGATATCGAATTTCTAAGAAATCCCGTTTTTTAAACTTTTCGTAACATACGAGTATTTCCTTGGAAATTCGGTATCCCGAAAAGGAAACACTCATTTTAGCTGAAACCTTCAGAGTATTCTAATAGCCAATAAACCTATTTATGAGTCAAATTTCAGGTCGAACTTCCCTCATTTAGATTTTTGGAAACCCCTTGCCATAGGTCGAAAATCCCCTAAAACGATTATAAGTCAGCCCCAAACGCCCAGGCAAACAAACCAATGTGGGGTTACTCTAGTCTTGTGGTATCCTAAAGATGAGCTGTAAAGCGCATAGCAGGTGTGACTTTCTTGACATGTAACTTTCTTGCTCGCAAACGGGTTTCATTGTGTCAGATATGTAGACACCAGTATGGGTAGGTCAATAAAATATCAATAGTCGGATGAAATAATGTTCCCTACAGCTCGTCTATCTCTCTATTTACCCTTTCTCAACTGTATGTATGTGTATGTCTGTTATTCACTCTTACTTGTACATACTTCTTGAAAATAGCGGGTTCTTCGGTGAAATGTCGAAATATATCAATTGTTCATCAAAGCCGCTTTAATGTAAATTATTTTATTTTCAAAGTATCACTCTTGACAATGAAAAATGTTTATAATCGACAAGAGTCATGTATCGGATTAGTGCTACTGCCAGACATATACCCAGAAATTTTCCGAGACAGCGACCCCATTTTCTGAGGAATGGGCCCGCCATAGCAAAATAAATTTTTCGCTGCACCTGTTTCTTTTTACCTACACCCACCGTCAGATGTTTTTCTGTCTGAGGAGGGCGGGCGCCCGGACTCTCTAGGTCCTCCGCTTCGATACGTCCCCACCTATGGCCATCGGCCTGAATCGGTATACCTTGCCACGATGTTTCAGTAGGAATGCCTTCGCCTTTGATCATCAAACTCAGCGGTCCCAGTTTGGCTCCGCGGCCTAATCTTGTACTTGGTAGCATGATCGATGCACATCCGAGAGTCGTCTCATCTTCCACGCAGACTTCTGCCACTTTCATGACTCGATCTTCAAAAAGATGGGTTTGAAGACCTACCTTAGTGTTTAACACAGCATAATCACCGATACGGACCAAATCGAATTCGGTTATATCAGTGGTGTCAATAAAACATCCTCGACCGATTTTAACTCCGAAACAGCGCAAGGCCGGGGCCAGAAAGAAGGTCCCACGGAGAAATTCGAGCACGAGTGGAGCGGCCAATTGTTCGTAGATCGCTGTGACAAATTCTGATGTCCAAACAAACCAGGTCCACATGGGATATTGCTCGATTTTGTATGTGCCCATCAGCAACCATTTGAGACCGATGCAAACGAGTAGTGAGGGTAGGGCAAATATAACAATGTACAGGATGGGTACAGTGAGAGAGGAGAGACCGAAATCGATTGCCTTGTTGCACAGTTTGAAAATATGAACGGCAATGCCAGTTTCAAAAGCAATGAGGATGCGAGGCAAGATTATTCGTACTGTATCGACGCAAAGTCGTCCAAAGATGAGACCCGCACGTGGACGATAAGTCAACTCTTCCGAAATGCCACCTGGCGCTTTCGCACGACATGGTAGAATACGTGCAGGCGAACCAAAACATGATTGTCCTTCTTTCAATCCATCCGCTACAAGAGACATGCACCCGATTAAGCATTTATTCGGTATCTGAGTGCCATCCATGATCACCGCAGAATTGCCAATAAAAACGCGTTTGCCGATGATCGTCTTTCGTAAATGCATTTGGCCACGAAAAATATGAGGCGCGCCAAGACTAACCAAATCACCGATAAAGCTTTCGTCACCAATTTCGACCAGCGAATGGACCATTCCGAAGGCTGTTGCCACTTCACAACGATGGCCAATTTTCATACCCAATGCTCGAAGAAACGGTGTGATGCAAAGCGTCGCATAGAATGTGTGCATCACGTTTAGAGCAATATCCATAAGCCGATCCAATGTCCATTTTCGAATATAGATGATCGATTTCGTACTATAAACACCCACCGTCATATTGCCGACGAGTAGAAAACGCACAATAATAATTTCTAGCATGATCAAACACGTGTAGAGAATACCAACGACTGGAGAAAAGACGGCGACTTGAACCCAAGGTGAAACAGACGGAATGTCGACGTATTCGAAGAGAGCGAGACCAGGCGCTATCGAAACGAAATGCATGAACGGAAGGAAGAAAAGAACAATCGCTCCAAAGATCATCGAAACGCACATGGACGTCGATTTGCTGCTACTCGAGTGGCTTGTCGAGTGTATAAGAGAAACACGATGCGAATAAGTGGCTGGCGAGCCTCGCCATGCTTCGCCCGAGGACACACATGTGCCAGAAGGAAGAAAGGACATATCGCCCAATTCTGAATGATCTTCCATCGTTGTCTGTCCGGCAAGAACACTGCATCCACCGATGTAAACATCACGTTGAATGTATATGCGTCGAAATTTGAGCGTATAGTC